ATTCTGATACCTTCAGCCCTTTCTACTTCAGTCTCTTGCTACCCTCTACCCCCGTACTATCCCCTGCCCTGCTGTTTTCTGTAACCTACTGATCATCCCTCTTCCCTTCTGCCATCCAATACCCTCGCTTCCTTCCCTACCCTGCAGCGCTGTATAGCCCTTGTGGCCTAGCGCTTCTTTTTGATTATAATAATAATAATTTAATTTTGTATTGGGTGTAAATTAAATTAAGTTGAATGCTTTTTATGAAGTTTTTAAAGTTAAATGTAATTTGTGACAGTGTCATTCAGTCTAGCAGTAGTTTGATCAACAATCATAATAGGTAATATATGAATGTAGCAGTTGAAATGCTGGTGTATTGGAGGAAGGGGAATTTAAGGCATATTTATTCCTATATGGATTTCACTAGACCTGGGTAGTGTTGTAATACCCATGTGAGATTAGCATATTTTTTTTTTTTTTTTTTTTTTTTTGTAAACATAACCATAATACAGTATTTGGACCATTTGATTAGCCTATTATGTAAAAACTTGAAAATTTGGGTAGTATGAGATTAATATTCATATTTGACAAATGATAGTTAACAATGTTTGGCAGAATCATTGGCTTTACCTACAAAATGAAAACAAGTCATCTACTTTAGAAAAGAGAACTGTTACAATTAATAATTTTTGTGATAAATGGTAGGGTGTAAAAGGTCACGTTGAAGCCCAGACGCAATTTCTCGTTCGACTTTAAAGACGTGAATTTAATGTACGTATTTATGCACTAGTTCATTTAACCTCTTTCTACGTAAAGTAACAAATTACTACCTTCTATTTCCTCAAGTGCTATATAACTTGTACAGATTTAATATTTTTTTTTTTGGGGGGGGGGGGGGGTTAAGAATATACAAAATTCGGAGTCTGTATTGATCTTGTATATTTTTTGTTTGTAATTTTTTTTTTGTTTCACTCTTGTGGCTATAGTTCCTGCTATCTCCTTCCTTGGATCAAATCTTATTTCCCATTGCCTAGCCATTGTAGGACCTCAATAGGCTTAGTGCCTTCCCCTAATTGTAATGTTGCAGGGCCTTTGATCTAAGGAAATGAAGCTACTCTCTTTCTTTGCTGGACTTGGTCCCTGACCCCCTTTGGATTGAACCTGAATGCTCCCCATAATAATCCTTTTTTGGATAAAATAGTGATTATCCATTGTGCTGATGGCTCTTTCGGGCTTAGCACATCCCAATGAATTTTATGAATTATACCAGTGACAGGCTGGTGATCCAGGAAGGTGGAGCTAGCCTTTCCAAGGCCCTCTATGAGCAGTCTCCTAATGGATGGACTTTTTCAGACCTCGCTGACAATCCCAATTCTGACACAGGCTCCCTCTGACTTTTTTTTGTTGGCAACTGCCTTATACCAACTTTTAATATATTTTACCCTTCAGCACTCCCCACTATCCTTGCTAACTCTGCCTCTTGCATACTCCTAACCCTCACTGGTTTTGGATCTTCGTATATTCATTTAGGAAATCCCACCCTGTAGTGCTGTATGACCCTTGTGGTTTAAATGCTTAGTGTTAATTATTATGTTCCATACAGCAGGTGAGGGGGCTCTTGATTTAGGGAACTGGATGTGTGTGCCAGTTCTGTGAATTAAGCCTGAATGCCTTCTGCACCCACCCCCCTTCCTCCACAAGTGCTGTATAATCCCTATGGGTTTAGTGCTCCTCTATAATAATGACCTATACAAGTTTAGCAATTTCCCATGAATGTGTTATCCTTCATTGAGCAACAAATCCCCAAGAGGTTCTTTGATGCCAGTGAAGGGCTCTTGATTAAGTCATAAACCTTGTCCAGGTCCCTCATTTGGATCAAACCCAATTGCCTCCCATTCCTCAGATACTGTATGACTTATGGGTTTAGTGGCACACTCCCCAAAGTATGTGTGCTGGATTGAACCTGAATGCCTCCCATTTCCTCAAGAGGCTTTTTGACCCCTATAGGCCCCTCAGGGAAGGTTCATTGATGCTGGTGAGGGGCTCTTGATCTAGGGAATTGAGTCTGTGCTCCAGTTCACTGAGTACCTTCCACATCCCCCCACAGGCGCTGTATAATCCTACGGGTTTAATGCTTCCCCCTTGATTATAATAATTGACCCCTATGGGTTTAGAGTTCCTTTACCAATGAATAGTCCTTGAGCTACCACTACTGAGTTGGAACTTAAAATACTGCAACCATGCTAGATACAACCAGAAGGCTATTTCTATTAAGCCACAGATCCCTTCTTGATGGTGCTCATATTTTCATAACCATACCTACGTTTGAAATGGCCAAGGATCCGTGTTAAGTCTTAATTGTAAAGAATGCTCCCCTCAAGGAAGGTTCCTTGATGTTGGTGAGGGGCTCTTGATTTAGGGAATTGGATCTGTGCTCCAGTTCCCCGAATTAAGCCTGAATGCCTTCCACATCCCCCATCAGGCGCTGTATAATCCTCCGGGTTTAGCGCTTCCCCCTTGATTATTATAATATACCTAAACTCGGTGGCCACTTTTTTTTTTTTTTTTTTTTTTTTTTACATATTTGCTCATTAAGACAAATGTCTAATAAACCAATCGCATGGCACCACCTCAATACCTAAAAGCATGCAGACATAGTCAAGGGTTTAGTTGTTAGACCGAACAACATGGGGACAGCGCTGTATGACCCTAGTGGGTTTAGCGCTTCTTTTATTATCTAAATGGGGAAGAAATGTGATTTGGTGACTTTGACCATGGAATAGTTGGTGCTAAGTTTGCATTGTTTGAATATCGCAAACAAGGCTGTATGACTTGTGGTTTTAGTGCTTAATTTTAATTGTAATTTCTTTTTGATTATAATAATAATTTAATTGTAATAATAACTGAATATCTCAAATTGCTGATCTCGCATTTTCATTTTTCTCAAGCTGAGAATGGTGAAAAAAAAAAAATATCCAGCGAGCTGTAGTCCTGGGCCCCTCAAGGAAGGTTCCTTGATGTTGGTGAGGGGCTCTTGATTTAGGGAATTGGATCTGTGCTCCAGTTCCCCGAATTAAGCCTGAATGCCTTCCACATCCCCTCCCCAGGCGCTGTATAATCCTCCGGGTTTAGAGCTTCCCCCTTGATTATAATTTGGGAGCCGATAGACCCTTCGCCGTCATTCAGGCCTAATCTTTTCTAGGCTAGAATTATCCCTGGTATCAAGGCACCTACCACCCCTCTAAGAGCTTGCCTTAATGCAGGTGGGGGCTCCTGATTAGTCTTGATTTCTGAAACATGACCCCCTCAACCCCTCAAGGAAGGCTCCTTGACGCTGGTGAGGGGCTCTTGATCTAGGGAATTGGATCTGTGCTCCAGTTCCCTGAATTAATTCCCCTCATGGAAGGTTCCTTGATGTTGGTGAGGGGCTCTTGATTTAGGGAATTGGATCTGTGCTCCAGTTCCCCGAATTAAGCCTGAATGCCTTCCACATCCCCCCCTCCCCTGGGCGCTGTATAATCCTATGGGTTTAGCGCTTCCCCCTTGATTATAATAATAATAATAATCCCTGAATTAAGCCTGAATGCCTTCCATCCCCCCATAGGCGCTGTATAATCCTACGGGTTTAGTGCTTCCCCCTTGATTATAATAATAATGACCCCCTCAAGGGAGGTTCCTTGATGGTGGTGAGGGGCTCTTGATCTAGGGAATTGGATCTGTGCTCCAGTTCCCTGAATTGAGCCTGAATGCCTTCCATCCCCCCCACATGCACTATAATCCTATGGGTTTAGTGCTCCCCATAATTATAATAATCTGAAACATGACCCCTCAAGGAAGGTTTCTTGATGTTGGTGAGGGGCTCTTGATTTAGGGAATTGGATCTGTGCTCCAGTTCCCCGAATTAAGCCTGAATGCCTTCCACATTCCCCCCCAGGCGCTGTATAATCCTACGGGTTTAGCGCTTCCCCTTGATTATAATAATCTGAAACATGAACGGGTTACCAACCCCCCCACTCCCCTCCTTGAAAACTACTTCAGGGCGGGCGATCTCCGTAGGGTTTCACAAGTGTACGCTCAAGGGAGGTTCCTTGACGCTGTTGAGGGGCTCGATCTAGGGAATTTGATCTGTGCTCAGGTTCCCTGAATGCCTTTCATCCCCTTCCCCACATGCGCTGTATAATCCTACGGGTTTAGCGCTCCCCCATGGCTTGACTGGCAAAGCTCTCGCTTCACACGGAGGGCTCGGGTTCGATTCCCGGCGGGGTAGAAACATTTCGACGCGTTTCCTTAAACCTGTTGTCCTGTTCACCTAGCAGCAAGTAGGTACCTGGGTGTTAGTTAACTGGTGTGGGTCGCATCCTGGGGGGACACGATTGAGGACCCCAATGGAAATAAGTCCTCGATGACTCATTGCCTTTCTTGGGTTATCCTGGGTGGCTAACTCTGCGGCGTTAAAAATCCGAACGAAATCTTATCTAATCTCTCTAATGTAGATTGACAGTGACTCTTGACCCGAGGAATTGGACCTGATCTTCGTTCCTTGGATAGAACTCTATGATCTCCCATTCTCCAATCGCAATATGACCCTTATGAGTTTAGCGCTTGGTTATGATTATAATTCCCATTCTCCAATGGAGCTCCCCTCAAGGAAGGTTCCTTGATGTTGGTGAGGGGTTCTTGATTTAGGGAATTGGATCTGTGCTCCAGTTCCCCGAATTAAGCCTGAATGCCTTCCACATCCCCACCCCTAGGCGCTGTATAATCCTCCGGGTTTAGCGCTTCCCCCTTGATTATAATAATAATCCAATGGAGCTTGATGACCCCTGCGGGTTTAGGTCCCCCTCACCCTATGAATGCAATACACATTCACAAATTTATTATACCTTTGTCCGGCCTTTTGAGATCTGGTAATATAATGCAAGTCGCCTCCCCCGAGGTGACAAAGAAACAATGCTAACTATTTACCATTCTAAAAGTGTGTGATGTAGTCTGAGGAATTTTAAATATAAACCACTTATTTTAAAAATATATTTATTTTGAAAAAAAAAATATGACCATAACCACTGTTTAAACGTTGCTCTTTTTTGGGAAGAGTAAGACAGTTTCGATGATGTTGGATTTGGTCAATTTATATCAGCAGAAGAGATAAGTATGTTTTGAGTTATGTACATAAGATGATGAAAAGGAAGAGTCACTGAAATTTTTGAGTCGTGTGAGGCATAAGATGAAAGGTAAGACGAGTCACTAATTTTTTGAGTTGTGTAGAGTATATTATTGCTTGACAGCGCTGCATGACCCTTATGGGGTTAGCACTTATGATTATAATAATAGTAATTATTGCTTGAAATTTTGGAACTGTCCAGACCTTCCTTTTCCAAAGTTTGAATGTTTCATAAAGTATAACTTCGAGCTGGCTTTTTTTTTTTTTTAAATTACTGTACTGATAATACTTGTGGCATAAAATAATATAAAAAAAGTTGTACAGTGACTGTGTGTGAGGATGATAGGCAGCTGACTTGCTGGGTATTTTGATATACCAACAAAGGCAAATAAATTATATAAAATATTGGGTGTAAACAAAAAAAAGTGCCTTTTACATTAAACAAATTATTCATTTTGACTGAAGATGTGGTTTAGGTTGTCATTCATGCTGTGAGAGGAATATAACAGATATGGGAATTAATGAAAGTGTAGAAGTAATGTGTGTTTGTGGGAAGTGTCACAGTGACCCATTGTTGAAATTTCATCGAATGAAAATCAACACTTCGTCTTCAGAGTAGATAACTGACTGATGAGACTTCACCAACCAATCTCAAAATTACATCGTTAAACGTTTTGATATATTACCACTGGTGGAAATTACGTATGGCCGTTAGAATAGATTTGTTTAACGTAAAAGACCAAACGAGTAGTAAAAGGACTGTTGTGCTAAAGTTCTTGATCCTCCAGGCTTCAGAGTCGGGCCCCCCAGAACCTGTGGAGAAATGGATGTTGAACTTGCTTAGTAAGTTTATTCAGGTATACACAAATACAGTTACATAGATTATCATACATAGCAGCATATGTATAGAGAACCTGGGATAACCCAAAAATGTCAGTGAGTTATTCCCATTGGGGTCCTTTTGTATTTCCATTGGCATAGCATTGCATGACATTTGTTTCTGAAGTTACTCGAGTAATTTTATACTGAACTGATAAGTATCTTTTTAAAGGAAAAATATGTACTATCAATGGTTGATTTTGGAAGCTTTATATTAAGTGAATAACTGTAGAACCCAAAGCTATATCTTATATCCTATTTGGTGCCTATTTTAATTAAATTTCTTTTTTGTTTTAAAAAATTACATATTTTATTTTTTAGTAATACAGTAATTTAATATACTTTATGCTAATTATTCACTTTAATAATCTATCGAGCATATAGGTTTCTTTGGGTTACTGTTATAAGAGTGATGATTTTTGGGTCTTGCTTACTCGTCTATGTAATGAAACTAAATTTCAAAGTGATTCAAAATTATCTCTTTAAAAAAATGTGACCGGAAGTCACGTAAAGTAGTATTGTACTAACCGGTTGTGGAGGCAACGCATGAGGAACCTCTATCCAGGGAGTCAGGTCCATGTGAGGGATAATACCACTTTTACACGACACCCGGGGGTTACTGCACACACACAATAAAGAAGTATGTCAGTGACTTGCATCTGGTGTAGCTTCGTATTAATAATATTACCAATGTTGTTCTACTGTCAACTCACTGTGTCACATGACAGGTCTATGAAAAAAAGGTGTTTTTAGCATCATCAATATCCCCAGAGATATTTCAATATCCTCAGAGATATTTCTTAAGATGGCTAGACGTCAGGTAAAGTTAGTCATGGTGCGATGAATTAAAATGTACATAGGTATTTAAATCCATATTCTATGCTATAATAAAAACATCTAGAAATGGTATCTAATGAGTCTCAATCTCCACAGTTTGTAAATTTTAATGTTCCAGCTAAACTATTACACACACACACACACACACACACAAGGTTAGTTCCAGAGCTAAGGGGAATGTCCTATGAAGAAAGATTAAGGGAAATCGGCCTGACGACACTGGAGGACAGGAGGGTCAGGGAGACATGATAACGACATATAAAATACTGCGTGGAATAGACAAGGTGGACAAGGACAGGATGTTCCAGGGAGGGGACACAGAAACAAGAGGCCACAATTGGAAGTTGAAGACACAAATGAGTCAGAGAGATAGTAGGAAGTATTTCTTCAGTCATAGAGTTGTAAGGCAGTGGAATAGCCTAGAAAATGACGTAGTGGAGGCAGGAACCATACACAGTTTTAAGACGAGGTTTGATAAAGCTCATGGAGCGGGGAGAGAGAGGGCCTAGTAGCAACCGGTGAAGAGGCGGGGCCAGGAGCTAGGACTCGACCCCTGCAACCACAAATAGGTGAGTACAAATAGGTGAGTACACACACACACACACACACACACTGTCACGTGTCACCCAAGAAAGATAATAAAGTGAAACAATCGTGTGACCAGCGAGATAAATACAGTGAATAGGGTACATTATTAACGAGAAGAAATTGAGGTGGATCTACGCCAGGACGTCACATCGAGCTGGACAATCTACAGGCTGCTACAGCTGCATTGCAAGTACTGTCACCACAGTCGATGGCCTCCACTCCAAACCAACAGATACAGATACTAATGCCGGAAAAAAAATCCCCCCCCAGTACCAACAATACCACCAGTCCGATAACATTCTTCTTTGCAAATATACAGGGTCTAAAGCCAGCTACAAACAACAAAATACCTTTCATCCGTGGACTGCTTGCAGAGGCAAAGGCAATGTTCGCGGCTTTCACTGAGACCCACATAAAAGATCACTTGGACAACGAAGTATGGATCCCAGGTTACAACCTATACAGATGTGACAGAGTGAACAGCAAAAGGGGGGGGTTGGCCTGTACATTGCAGAGTCACTTGTTTGCACAGAACTGCTTAATGCCTCAAATGACGTAGTGGAAGTTTTAGCAGTAAAGGTCGAGAACCAAAACTAGTCATTGTGGTAGTCTACAAGCCTCCGGATGCAACATCCCAGCAATTCCAGGAACAGCTGTTAAAAATTGACCACTGTCTGGAAAATCTTCCAGCTCCTGCACCAACATCTTGCTCCTGGGGGATTTCAACTTAAGGCACCTAAAATGGGAATATAGCAAATAATATTGTTGCAGAAATAACACCAGGAGGCAGCTCTGATGAAAACTCACACTCACACGAGCTTTTAAATCTCTGCACAAAATTCAATTTAAACCAGCAAATAATAGAGCCTACAAGACTGGAGAATACACTAGACCTCATCTTCACTAACCAATGATGATCTGATAAGAAATGTCACCATATCAAAAACAATATACTCAGATCACAACATAATTGAGGTTCAGACATGTAGCATGGAGCCCCAGACCGACAAAATGAGACTAGTCATGAGGGAGCATTCACCAAATTCAACTTCAATAACAAAAACATAAAGTGGGACCAAGTAAACCAAGTCCTAACCGATATAAGCTGGGAAGATATACTAAGCAACACAGACCCAAACTTATGCCTAGAACAGATTAACTCGGTGGCACTCGATGTATGCACAAGGCTTATTCCTCTAAGAAAAAAGGAGGAGTAGATGTAAAATAGAAAGGGGACAGGCGCTCCCTTTACAGGCGACGGAAAAGAATAACAGAGCGGCTAAAAGAGGTCAATATATCTGAAATGCGCAGGGAGACACTGGTCAGAGAAATAGCAAGCATCGAACTTAAGCTAAAAGAATCCTTTAGGAGTCAGGAATCGCGGGAAGAACTAAAAGCCATAAATGAAATCGAAAGAAACCCAAAGTATTTCTTCTCCTATGCCAAATCAAAATCGAGAACAACGTCCAGTATTGGGCCCCTACTTAAACAAGATGGGTCCTACACAGATGACAGCAAGGAAATGAGTGAGCTACTCAAGTCCCAATTTTGACTCATTTTTTAGCAAGCCGCTAACCAGACTGAGAGTCGAAGACCAAAATGAATTTTTTATGAGAGAGCCACAAAATTTGACTAACACAAGCCTATCCGATGTTATCCTGACGCCAAATGACTTCGAACAGGCGATAAATGACATGCCCATGCACTCTGCCCCAGGGCAGACTCATGGAACTCTGTGTTCATCAAGAACTGCAAGAAGCCCCTATCACGAGCCTTTTCCATCCTATGGAGAGGGAGCATGGACACAGGGGTCGTCCCTCAGTTACTAAAAACAACAGACATAGCCCCACTCCACAAAGGGGGCAGTAAAGCAACAGCAAAGAACTACAGACCAATAGCACTAACATCCCATATCATAAAAATCTTTGAAAGGGTCCTAAGAAGCAAGATCACCACCCATCTAGAAACCCATCAGTTACACAACCCAGGGCAACATGGGTTTAGAACAGGTCGCTCCTGTCTGTCTCAACTACTGGATCACTACGACAAGGTCCTAAATGCACTAGAAGACAAAAAGAATGCAGATGTAATATATACAGACTTTGCAAAAGCCTTCGACAAGTGTGACCATGGCGTAATAGCGCACAAAAAGCGCGCTAAAGGAATAACAGGAAAAGTCGGTCGATGGATCTATAATTTCCTCACTAACAGAACACAGAGAGTAGTCGTCAACAGAGTAAAGTCCGAGGCAGCTACGGTGACAAGCTCTGTCCCACAAGGCACAGTACTAGCTCCCATCTTGTTCCTCATCCTCATATCCGACATAGACAAGGATGTCAGCCACAGCACCGTGTCTTCCTTTGCAGATGACACCGAATCTGCATGACAGTGTCTTCCATTGCAGACACTGCAAGGCTCCAGGCGGACATCAACCAAATCTTTCAGTGGGCTGCAGAAAACAATATGAAGTTCAACGATGAGAAATTTCAATTACTCAGATATGGTAAACATGAGGAAATTAAATCTTCATCAGAGTACAAAACAAATTCTGGCCACAAAAATAGAGCGAAACACCAACGTCAAAGACCTAGGAGTGATTATGTCGGAGGATCTCACCTTCAAGGACCATAACATTGTATCAATCGCATCTGCTGAAAAATGACAGGATGGATAAGGGAAAACCCTTAAAAACTAGGGAGGCCAAGCCCATGAGACACTCTTGGTCACTGTTCTATCTGGCGGGAATATTGGACTCTAACAGCCCCTTTCAAGGAGGTAAAATTGCCGACCTAGAAAATGACAAGAACTTTCACGGCGCGCAAAACGGGAAAAACACCTCAATTACTGGGAGGCTTGAGGTTTCTAAACCTGTTTTCCCTGGAACGCAGGGGGGAGAGATACTGAAAATTTTACCTGGAAAACCCCAGGGGGAATCCAAAACTTGCACACAAAAATCATCATCGAAAGCAAAAGACTTGGAAACGATGCACCACCCCCCCCAATAAAAAAACAGGGGTGTCACTACACGTAAGAGACCTAAAATAAGTGTCAGGGGCCCGAGACTGTTCAACTGCCTCCCAGCACACATAAGGGGGATTACCAACAGACCCCTGGCAGTCTTCAAGCTGGCACTGGACAAGCACCTAAAGACAGTTCCTGATCAGCCGGGCTGTGGCTCGTACGTTGGTTTGCGTGCAGCCAGCAGCAACAGCCTGGTTGATCAGGCGCTGATCCACCAGGAGGCCTGGTCACAGACCGGGCCGCGGGGGCGTTGACCCCCGAAACTCTCTCCAGGTAAACTCCAGGTAAACCTATTGAGTGGTTGTATGGGTGTGGGGTTCCAGGTTCCAATTAACCGCCAAGCTGATTGCGAATGGTCTCTCATAGCACGATAAAGAATAGGCAATCAAGTATTCAATAAGGAATAGCAATTGGTAATCCATTGAACAAGGCGAGTAACTTACTATAAGCTAAGTGGCAGGTCAAGCATAGGCAACATTGTAAGAAGGTGCAGGCCAAGTCCCAGGAGGGTGGGGGTCAGGTCACAAGCGACCACTGAGAATCCACATTACACTCCAAGCACAAGTCACCTACTTTTCAGACACATACTAAACCCACACATAATTCCACACATAATTACATACACACATACACACACAGAGTTGTAAGGCAGTGGAATAGCCTAGAAAATGACGTAGTGGAGGCAGGAACCATACACAGTTTTAAGACGAGGTTGATAAAGCTCATGGAGCGGGGAGAGAGGGGGCCCAGTAGCAACCGGTGAAGAGGCGGGGCCAGGAGCTAAGACTCGACCCCTGCAACCACAAATAGGTGAGTACAAATAGGTGAGTACACACACACACAGGATCTGGACAGGCTGCAGACCTGGTCCAGCAATTGGCTCCTGGAGTTCAATCCCACCAAGTGCAAAGTCATGAAGATTGGGGAAGGGCAAAGAAGGCCGCAGACGGAGTACAGTCTAGGGGGTCAGAGACTACAAACCTCACTCAAGGAAAAAGATCTTGGGGTGAGTATAACACCAGGCACATCTCCTGAAGCGCACATCAACCAAATAACTGCTGTAGCATATGGGCGCCTAGCAAACCTCAGAACAGCATTCCGACATCTTAATAAGGAATCATTTAGGACCCTGTACACCGTGTACGTTAGGCCCATATTGGAGTATGCGGCACC